CTGTTCATCATTGATGTATTCTTCCCTCAGTTCATCAGGCGCCTGTTGAGCACCTGTTTCGTGGCTGGCACTGTGCTGGACACTGGCTAGGATACCAAACCTGGATTAAATACCCACTCACACTGGTAAACAGCTAGGGGGCAAAAGAGTGGTGTGTTCTCTAGCAGGGTGGATAGAGGGTGGGGAAGATCCCCAGGCCAAGGGAGCTCAGGAACAGAAGTGCAGAGCATGGGACAGTGTGTCATTGACTGCAATGGGGATGCTGCCCCTGGACTTGTGCACTGTGGTGACCCTGATGGCATGATTGGGGCCCTGCATTTTTAATGAAACACCAGAGACTATGGTGTTTGGGTAGAGTGTACAAAATACCAAACTCAATTGAATTAGGTGTTGTTTTGTACTGTGAAAGACCATGATTACGGCTCTGAGTCCTGGAGTTGATGATACACTGCTGCTAACTAATGGTTAAATCATAAACACAGTGCTCTGTTCTAAGGGAAGGCTCCAGATCTAGCTTTTTATGGCAACCCCCAAACCATATGCCTCCAGGAAGCGTGCCTTGCAGTGCAAAATTAAACTAAGCAACAGTTGCTGTTTTAGAAAAGAAAAATTAAATATGTTTTAATATCTATCTATCTATCTATCTATCTATCTATCTATCTATCTAATCATCTACTCATCTATTTTTGAGAATAACAGAAGAACCTGGGCTCTGGAGATGCAGACTTTACAACTTCATAACAATAGTATTTATTATATTTAATGTTGTTACACAGACGCATGCACACACAAATTGTGATAAAAGCAACAAAACACAACTCCTTCCTTGACATTTTACCTTTCAAAATAATGTTATTATGGGGCCAGCCAAGTGGCGCATTGGTTAAGAGCTGGCTTGGGATGCCAGAGGGCCCCNTTTTTTTCGAGCCAAATCTATTATCTTTGTGTACTGGCTTGGACTGACTCAGTGATCGCTTTTCACCTAGATGTCTGCAAAATAACCCCCAAACAACATGAGTTCATTGTGTATAGAATCTTTTGCTCTCCTTAATTTTAATTTTTGGAAATTTTTCTATGTAATCAAAACATTTGTTCCTCATGAGAAGAAGCGAGCTCACTTTTCAATCTACATTTCCTGGAGAAAGTACCAGATAAAGCCTTCACAAACAAGAGGAGGGCTACTTCCTTTCCTCAGAAATCGGGGCTCTGCCTTTCCTGAGATGCCGGTCTGTGCTGGGGGAGGGGATCCTTTGTATGAGTGGCCTGGTGGCTTAGTGAGCAGACCATGGATTGCAGAGGAATAGAGGCACCCCTTCCCCTCCCTGACCCCCCCCCTCCCCTCACGTCCCCATTCCTGCAGGGGCTTAGGAGCATGGCCGCTCCTCTGTGGCAACTCATTGTCTCATTCTGTATGCTCCATTTGACATTTGAGCTCAAGCCTGCTGGGGACAAACAAACCAGACCCAAATGATAGTACCTTTAACCACCTTCTGCTTAAGCTGCTCCTTTACTGTCTGGAGAGGAATTGGGGACACAGACAGGACTAGGAATTCATGTTCCCACCTCCCTGATATTCTGGCCACTTGATAGTTGGAGCACATGGATGATAGTGTACCCTGGAGTTAAGGAAGTTGTTTGGGGGTAAAATCATAATGATAATTTCTTTTTAAAAAAAGAAAAAGCGTTTTTTGGTTTTTTTGTGCCTTGTTCAATTAAACAACAGCCATTGGTGTTTTAAGGGGATCAGAGAATTCTGTTTGTGGAATTTTTTAAAGGACAAATATTGATGTGTGCACTACAAAACTAAGACAAATGATAATTGAAAGAGATGATAAAAGCTAGTGGCTTCCTTAGGGAAATGATCACAAATTACTGTCACACTGATTCCAATAAGAAAGAGCATTGCTGTATGTGAAATGTTTTTTAAATAGCTCAACCAAAGCAGTAAGCCAGAATACTTCTGAGGGCATCTCTTTTCTGTATGTTTCTATTATATCCACACCTGAGACCCCTCAATTTACATTATTCACTACTCCAGCTGCTGTATCATGGTCAACACTCTGTTGGAAATGCGGAATACCAGATTGCAAGAAGGATACTGTTTGTGGGTCCTTGAGATAATCCTATAGTTTCACCACATTGATTCACCAGAGGATGCCATGCAGGAGAACTTCCATTTGCCCCCAGAGAGCCACTCTCCACCCTGTTCCTGCTCTGTACCCCAGGAAACTGGCCTGTGTAGACCAACCGTACCTCCTTTTTCTATGTCTTCCTGTTGAGTTTGACAGTTGAGTGGGTATGTATTATAATAGGACTGGATGTGATAGGATTGGCTATGTTCCCCTAGTAAATGCCTTCTGCATACAGTTTTCCTCTCTGGGTTTCAAAAATGTCTCCCTCTACTTGCTCCTTCAGGCATACAGTTTATAAGAGCTCTTTGGTGCTACCAGCCATAGGCATTGCATTATTCATTATTGGTTTCCTTAAACCCTGCCTGCACTTTTGTAAATAGTCTGTTCAATTCTTCTCAAATTGGCCATTTGGAAGGACCCCCCTGGATTCTGCTGGAACACTGACTGATATTTGCCCAAGTCACCCAGATGACAAAGCCGGTTATATTGTAGATATCATAATCTGTATCTTTTGCATTATTTTAAGTAAACACTCTCTTCTAGGCTGGTCTACCTTTGATTTAGAATCAAATAGAGCAGGGATCAGTAACCTATAGCCTTGCAGGCCAAGTTCAGCTGGCCGCCTGGTTTTGTAAATGGAGTTTATTGGAATACAGCTATGACCACTTGTTCACTTCCTGCCTGTGGCTGCTTTTGAGTGACAGCCAGAGGTGAGGAGTTCCAACAGAAACCGAATGGCCTGCAAAGCCTAAAACATTTGCTATTTGACCGATCACAGAAAAAGTTTACTGATCCCTGATTGAGAGGAAAACCATAATGGGTCAACTTGATCACTTTCATCAAGAGGCTCCTGGGCCAGATGGGGGGGGCACTTGTGAGTGGCCCCATGACAATGACATGGGAAGCTATAAACCCCAGAGCTAGACAGGATTGCNAGAGGAGGTGGGCAGGCAGAGGAATAATTTGCATTTGTCTGTGGGAGAATAATAGGAATGCATTATACAAATTAATACATTGACACACCCAGTTAATGTATTCTGTACTAGTTGCTTGGGAGAAGATTCAATCCCATTTATTATTATTATGATTTTTTTTCCCTTTAAACAGTGGTTGTAGGCTGAGTTACTGGGTTGAGAGAAAAGAATATAAATACCTAGGATTTCACTTTTTAAGTCTCCCTCTAAAATGTCCATATCCTAGCAGAAGACTCTCTCATAGTCACTGATGAGATGCGAGGGTGATTTTGCAGGGCCAGCCCCAGATGACAGCGAGAGGAAACGGGATGCTGTATTAGTTGAGTGGGTGCCACAAAACATACCCCTTTCAGATGAAAAGTTTAGAAAATTGGCCAGCCTAGAATTTATTCTTAAGAACAAAATTGCTTGCTGTTATGTTTTTAAATGAATTAAAACAATAAACCTCACTCAAAGCATGCTTTGCCTCTGGAGTGGACTGTTATCTGTGATCTGACAAGAACTGCTGCATGATTTGTGGAGCATCATGATGACTATGAGAGTTTTGAGGGATTAGAGGCAAAGACTCTTGTTCAGTAAGGTTAATCCCTCGGTCACAGACTTGTTTTCTTTGGTTCCAGCAGCCTCAGCTGTGCACACTGTGTCAGCCTCAAACATAAGTCAGAAATTCCTTTAAAGTATATTTACTTAATGTGCATTTGAAACTAGAGACTTGCTTCTGCCTGACTTCGGTGCACGTTCCCTTTGGTTTTCTTATCTAATTTTGACGGGTGAGTTAACAGAAGTGCTTTGGTTAGCTCAGGGAGAGCCTCCTTCCAGGCTGAGGCCCTTGCTCTATTCCCCCAGGAGGAAGCTCATTGGGAACAGTATATCACAAAGAGTACTGTCCTGTTAGTGGGGACTAAGGATTAATTTCACTTGACCCCTGATTGGCTGTTTACCTTGGAGAGCACATGCTACCTATCTGGACCATGGTGGCCCCACTTTATCTGCCTGAGATAAGGAATCTAGCATCCTTCTGAGACCTGTGATTGTATCTCACAGCTTCTAATGGGAACCCTGTGAGTAAACAGACCTCTGTGTTTTAGGAGCACTGTTCTGCATATCTGGAAAGCCCTTGTTGGTCTCAGCCTCTTGGTCAACTTCTGTTCATTCTCCAAGGTGAAGCCACCTCTGCAAAGCCTTTCCTGACCCCTCCTCCCTGCCACCTTTGTTCCCGAATTGTTCTCCCCTGCGCACTCTGTGTATATGGCTCTTGCAGCTCTTAGCTTCCCTTCAAACCTGCCTATTGTCTCTACGAGGTTACTTATAATCTGGTATTTGGAATTCCTCAGAATATTTTATAGCAGGCTTGTGTTTCCCTGGGGAGGGGCATAGCTAGCAGTAGAGAAGGACATAACTCTCTTGTATGGTTTTCAGAGATGGGGAAGCAGTGATTCCCCACCTGCCATTTATCATCCAACGCTTCAAATTGTTTACATCGATTTCCAATCCTTACAGATTGCATGTGCTCACATGAGCACAGACAGCCTGGCTACTCACTCCAGCCCTGCAAAGAAGCCCTGGTTGGTTTGTCTAGATGACAGGTTTGGTTTAGCTCATCAAATCCGCAACAAGCAGTGCCGTCTCTACTCTTTAGGGTAAGTACATTTTACAGCAGAAGAAAATAAAAACAGTTCCGCAGGTGGCCAAGGCCGTTTCAGCAACACCGAGTTATGAATGGGTGCAGTGTATAACAGGGGCTATGCTTTGCCTCCTGCTGTCACTTCAGACTCGTCTGTCTGTTCTGTATCTGTGGATACTTGCATGCAGATCCCCCTAAGTGGCCAGGGCCACTTTCTCTCCATCCTGCTGGTAGGAAGTTGGCAACCTCCATTTTCAACCCAATAGTGATCCTCTTGATGAAACCAATGATTTTCAGCTAGAATTAGAGCATCCTTATAAAGAGAGAGCAGAATATTAAGAATGAACCTAGATAAAAGAAAGAACAGTGAGGATATTAGAAATTTTATACACAGTTATGATGAGGGACCCAAGGCAAATGGATTTTTATGTTTTGTGCCAATGGCAAATCCGTGTATACTTTTGCATTAAAGAAGGAAAGAAAAGGAAACTCTTACGAAAACCATGAGATTTTGTCAAAACTGTGGGAAATACTGATATTCAGTTATTCAGCCTGAAAAATGACCCAAATGTACACATGGATTTAGAGAGCTTTTTATAAAAGGGTGACTAAGAAGTAATGGAATTATTTCACCAAATACAGCAGTGCTCATTAAACAGTCCTGAACTTACAAATGATATATGTCTCACAAAAAAGGCAGGAGAGAGTAACTTTTGTTTGGAACATCCTGTTCCATAGACTATTTATAGCAGCTGTGTGGTTAGGTTCTCAGACAAGATCCCTGAGGACTTTTACTGAGGACCCCAAGAAGTGTTATATGCTTGTTCCTCACCCATAGGTTTAATCACCGCTACGATTTACATTCAGGCCCATAAGTGACAACTGCCAACCAGAATCCTAGATTAGCCTTGGGGGCAGACATTTGGGTGCTATGGAGGCCTCCCCAAAGGTGCAGATGCATAGAGGGTGATCATCGCTTGTCACACTTGACCAAACAAGAATTCTTATAGTCATCATGGATTTTTTTTTAACAAAAAAATGTTCAAATAAGAGTTCCAGGATAATAAAAACATTCTTCTATGAAGTGAAGAGTAATGGTATATATCAGTGGAGCTTGGTAAGCAGTAGGCCCTCAGGATACATTTGCTACATAAATGATTGCTTGAGGTAAGGAGACTAAGGAGGGAAGCCGGTTGTGTTGTGATTTAAATTTGGAGGCTTGAAGATTAGGAAGAAAATTGCTCAGCCAGTTGATTAGAACAGAGCTCTTTTTCTGGGAGCCCACCAGCTATGCTTCAAGACTGTAAGAAGAATGGGAAGTTGTGACAGTAGAGTTTATTTTATATCATATTAAAAATGTATGAAAGTAGGTCATAAAAATAATCACATAGTACCACATGCAAATCGGAGCTCTCAGCTTGGTCCTATTTTCTTGCTCCAAACTGCCTTTATATTTTCTTAATATTTTATACCCTAGAATAATTTCATTTAAAGCGTATAACTGAGTAAAGTGAAATTGGGAAAGCTGTTTTTGGAGAAAATTTTAAAGTTCCCTTTTGCTTTTTTTATACTTCAGAGCCATTAGATAAGATAGTTCTCCTGTAAGATTTCAGATTATTACATTCAAAAAGATAGTTTCTTATTTTCATTTAAATGTTCACTATTCTAAATTAACATTGTAAAGAGCATATGAGAACAGTTGGATTGCACTGGGAAAAGAAATGAATAGATTATGAGTGCCAACATTTGATTCAAAACCTGAAAATGCTTCATTGAAAATTGGAAACTAAAGAAAATATTTCTTATGCCCTAAAAATGGATGCTTTGGATTATGGTTGTATATGTTGATTGCACTGTTACCCAGGACTGGGGGTCCAGACAAGCATCCCCTTTTCTCAAGTGAATTGCTTCTCTGGGGGGCAGATAATAGTTGGATGACAGCATCTCAATTGATGCTGAAGGAAGAAAGAAACCCAGGGTAAAGTGCTGCTCCTGAAACGAGGCACAAGAACAGGAAATGTGGGCCCTGGGTTCCTAGCATTTGGGAGTCTTAGGGTAGTTTTGAGATAGGAGGGGAGGGCAGGTGGAAGATGGTCATGTGGCCTCTTCATCCAGGCAGCACGTGCTGCAAGCCCCAGGGCTGTGGCAGCAGCAAGACCAGGCCACTGCTGTGCCCAGGCATTTCCAGCCTAACCAAGGATGACGGATGCAGTTGCAGCTGGCTGTAACCTTCCTGGAGTGAGAGGAAGGAAGGGATCTGAGGACATAAGGATCAGAGGACAAAGGCTGATAGCCTTGCCTTCTGATCCGCTTCTTACCTTCCTTCCACCCCCAAGAACTAGAACAGGTATCACCTTCACCTTCTCTCTGATGTCTGAAATTTTTTTGCTAGGCGTCAAAGCCTTTTATTTTATGGTTAATGTAAAAGACTTTTCTCTGGGAAAGTGCACTCTGTGTCAAGTTCAGTTGAAAATTAAAATCAGATACTTTCCAGTTTTGAAGCAGGGTAGAATAGACTGATGAAGATAGGAAAGGCACTGAAAAGGAAGGTTGTGTTATGGAGAAAGGGCAAGGGAAGAGAAACGAGGAGAGGCTGTGGATTTAGATGATATTATTCATAACTTCAGATGGGGCCTGCCCTGCAAGTCTGCCTGTGTGTATAGTGGAGGGGTTATTGGTGGGTAGGGTGGGGAGAGTGGGGGATGAGAGAGGTAGTTAAAGTGAAGTAGGGAAAAAAATCACCTGTTTCATCCTTCATGTGAAAGATTGTATTTCAGAGGTAGGAGAGAGAGCGGAAGAGAAAATTTGAGACGGGATGATACATAGGCAAATATTTTTCATCTCTTCTCTGGGGAGTTGCACCATTTGGTTTCAAGACATAAATTCTCAGCATAAGACAGAGAATATTTGATAGTGGACACACAGTTAGGCAACAAGAGCCAATACTTTATACAGAAAATCTGGGACTTCCAGTAGCAGCGAACATTTCAAGAGGAATGAATGAGCTCCGGAACCAAAAATTTTCATCTAATAGTTTAAGTAGCACAGCAGGAGCTCATAGTATACATGAATGAGGAACCCAAAAATCAACGGACCCAAGGGTGCTTTTAAGACAATTTTTTTCCTATTCACCCCGCCCATGAAATGTTAATACCATAGATATACTGTACATCTGTTTATGTATCAGTGCTTTATATGTAAAAAGAGTAATTTTTTCTTTTTGCTTTTTGTGAAAGAAGGTTTATAGAATGTGTACAGTCAGCCACGTGTTAAAATAGAAGAAAGCTTGATGTAACTAAGAAAATTGGCTTTGGAACTGTCATTTTGTCAGTCCAACACTTTTTGCTTCATTACATGTTTCATTGTTGATTTCCATCCTACTTCTTCACAGGCTGGGAAGTGATGATACCCACTTTGAGGTTAGCATGGCCAACAATGGATGTGAAGTGCATCGTTTTGATCCTAGTGTTAAATCAGCTCACATTCTGGAGAATCAGCGCCTTTGGTATCACCGCTTGTCCATTGACTGGCGGGACCCCCATCCAGCTGTTGCTGCCCAAAAACCACATAGCAACACCAGAAAACTGGGAACCATTTTGAATGAATTTGGGCATCACAAGGTAAAAATTTTTTTCATTTGATTTAATAAATAAATAAAGTGAACAAACTTATAACCTGTTTTTTTTTTAATGCAAACCAAGGATTGGCTAATTGAAGGTCCAGTTTAAACCTTACAGATCACTCATCATTATTTATAGAGTCAGCTCTGTAGATATAACATTTTCACAAGGGTAGAGATATTTAAATTGATTTGAAAATTGTAGTTGCTGTTGAGTTGTGCTAAGTAAGGTTTTGGCTAAGACTGGGCAAGGAGACGAAGAAACCTACTTCTGGCATCGACTCCTGAGTACCATTTCCATTTTGCAATTGATTTAAAATTTCCAGACAGAGGAAACTACTTATGTCAGCCTCAGATACCAAAAGTAATCAGAGTTCATGTTTGATAACAGATTGCTTGTGTATCATGTTCCTCATTGTTGTAACAACTGTTTTGAGTCTCCAGGCTCTTGAAGGTCAGAAAATATATGTAGTTTTGATTAAAATGTACTTTGTAAAATTGAATGGACATTGTGTATATTGCAACTGATATAATTATGTCAAAGGGTGTCAGATCTTTACAAATATTTTATTGTGAATGGGTAGTAAACAAGAGACAGAAACTTTGAACTGTGTTTCTTAAAAGCAATTTTTAGTGTAGAGCTGAGCTAATTGCATTCTGCAGGCAGATACTAGAGAAACTCTCCTGAGTGTAGTTGGCTTGTATTTGATTGCCAATCTTTCTTGGGCTTGGCCTATTCTGGCCTTTTATTCCCAGCCAGCAATGGCATGTAATTTAGAACATGCCGGAATGGGTATTTCTGAAAATCAGTATACATGGAACTCAATTTTCAACTTGAGTTTGCTGCTTGATCTTTAATAAAAGGGCTTTTCCTCTGCATTCTTCTTCTTCCTTTTCCTCTGAAAACAAAATGAAAACAGCCCAACTCCCTTTAATTGGACAGCAGGAGCTTCTACAAGAACAACTTCAAAGAATTTGCTGTTCTTTTAACATGTGATTAACTATTGATTTGTAGTTTGCTTTGCCACTGAGAGTAACTAGCATTTAATAGTTAGGAAACTTAATGAAAAATACATAGGGCTTTGGGGGTAAAAATCTCTGAACAGAACCCAAAGAAGCGAGAACATTTTCCAGAACTTTGTTTTTGCCTTCATAGACCTGGTTTTTTTACAGCTGAAAATTACAGGCTTGATTCTCTAATATGTCAACTCGAGATTATTCAAAGAGCTAAGTACTGATTCTCTGTGTTCATTTAGACATTTTGCTGCTCCTCCTTAAAGCTCTTTACATCCTGGCCTTATCCACCCTCACTCTTCAAAGAAAAGACTGAGTAAAGAAGTGAAACCTAAAGCCATTTTACTTTTTTTGATGATATTTTAGCAAAAGATTTGATAAATGTGAGGATAAAATAAGACTGTGAGAAATGATCTGTGGATGTAATTTATCTAAGCCACATTGCCTGTGGAAAATGTGCTTTCAGACAACTAGGTTTGTACCTCGGTTGTGCTTGTTCAACTCCGTGGGAGCTGAAGTAGGCAAACCTGTATTCCGAAGATGAAGCATGAAGCCTTTACCACACTGCCCCTAAGACAGCAGAAACATTTATTATACTGACACCTAGAAAGGAGAAATGTTTTAGAAAATGTCTTACATTCCTAAGGCTACTTATTTTTATTAAAAATATTAATAATATCACTTAAAAATAAAAACCATTTTAAAATGGTTTTATTTGTATTTTTACTGCAATAAAACAATAGGAAACCCCCCCAGTATTAGTGAAAGAGATCTGGCTTAGAACTGTCAGATATGTTTTTGCTACTTAAAAAAAAAAATCCCTTGTTGAAGAATTTGAAAGAGACTGATATCCTTTTTTAGAGATTTTTTTTTTTTGTAATGCTTTAAAACAAAAACAAAACTAAACCCATCGGTGAGTGATTGCTCCCATTTAGGCACATGCTTCTAGGAGCCATGAGATATCAGTAAAAGGAAACCTCGTTTCTGGCCTGTAGTAAGCAGGGTCTGTTTTCATTTTTCTGCATGTACATAGACTGGTGAATAGGACATGGCTCTGGCAGGGAAAGCAAAAACAAAACAAAAAACAAAACAAAACAAAACAAAAAACCCAAAAAAAATTAAACTAAAAAATGGCAGTGCTTTTTGCCTTCCCGTCTTCACTTATTTTTTTCTGAAAGTGACTATAGTCACCAAAGGGGTTTTAGTTGTTTTGTTTCACTTCATGACTTTAAAACATCTCATATAGCCTGGTGATGTTTTTCATGTTAAGCTGTTATTTTTCTTCTCCTTATCATACTTCAATTCCAGGCACTTGGGCAAAAATGCAGGCAAAATAGAAGACAGTATTCTGAGATGGTGACAGAAAGAGATGCAGATAGCTTTTGTAGTGCTTTTTAAACTCTTTGAAATTTTAACTTCAAACTATAAATCAAAAAACCTTTCTAAAGCATCAAGTGAGAGCAGCTGCGTCAGCAAAAGCACATGAACCAGAAGCCCAGCCTGTCACAGAATAATATCATCTGAATCCAGTATTACTTGAAATGATTCACTGTTTTTGCTGAAGCGCTTGTTGCTGTAACTACGTATTAGAATTTTTCCAGAATATGACTAGAAATAGTGAATATGAAATTTCTGCTCATATGAATCATAATGTATGCTTTTTGTTTAAGGTCTTTATTGCACAGAGTATCCTAAACAATCCAGGCTGGTTAATGAGAAATTGTTATTATTTTCAGTCTTAACCATGCCAAGGATAATATGAATAACAGAACTGTGTTAGAGCTTACCTCTGTAAACTCATTAATCTAGGTTTGAGGCATGGGTCCTCTTGCTAGTTTTTGGCACTGGGCAAGTCTTAAATGACTGCTCAGTTTGATCGTCAGTGAAATTAGGACAATGATACTACCTAAATGGATTGTTTTGGGGAATTAGATCAGTGTGAAGGGCTTCAGGAGGGTGTCTGGCATGAATTAGTCATTCGATTGTAAATTCAAAGAATTCGTATGAACAATTTCAGGAAATTTTTACCTAATTTCATAGAAAACGTTTTCTTTCTTTGTTTTCAGGGAAAATATATTAAGAGATTTCTCTGGAAGTTGCTAACTGCACCTAATTCCAGTCAGTAGTTTTTAATGAAAGCTTTGTGTGAAACTGAAGGGCAATTGGTCCTTCAGACATGGTGGTAGAGAACTATTATTGTTTGCTGCCTCGGGGCACTGAACAGTTTTGCTGCGATTATGTAGAAAGTAAATACTGTGATGTATAGAAATTAAATAAGCTGCTGAGAATTAATACAGAGAAGATGCAGGCCGAGGGGGACGACCTGGGTGGAGCCGGACTTCC